CCCCACCAGGGGGGCAGTTTACCCAGCCTGTTTACCTGTCCCGTTGCCAAGACTCCCAGGCAGCCACAATGGGCCGTCTCCAGCCAGTCTCTATTCCTACCTCTGGCTCCCCGTCCCTCTCCACCCTACCCGGGGCCTGGGCACTCCCACTGACGGCAGCCGTGTGAAGAAGCATTTCCTTGAATTCTCTCCCTGACCTGACCTTCTGCTCTGGCCTCCGTTCCCCTGCCCCACCTCCTTTGGATCCTCAGTCCAAAAGGCCTGTGGCCGGCAGAACTGATTGCCTACAGAAATGATAGGGGTGGGAGAAAGGGCTTATCCCCATCAGAGCCCGACTTGAACTTGGGTCTCCTGACTCCCAATACTGTGCTCTTTCCACTCCACTGGTGTTTTAGTCCTAGCGGTCATTTCTGCCTTAGAAAGAATGCATTTATCAGCTCTTCTCCCGAGAGGCAGAAGGGAGAGAAAGCATGAGCTGTTCTAGGCAGCTGAGCGTGCAGAGGAGAGGGCACTGCTGGGGGTGCTGATCGCGAGCTGCGGAAACAGAGGACTCTGCAGACCCCCATCCGGGTGCCCCAGAGCATCTACTGGTGCACCTCCTTCTAGAGTCAGGGTCTGGAGGGCAGGGGAGTTAGGAAATGAGATTCAGCAACTGAACTTTGAGTTTTGAATCCCAGCTCTGCTATTTACAGGTTGTATGACCCTGGGCAGGTCTCTCTGAGCTCTGGTTTCAGCTGTTAACTGGGAAAACAATCATACTTCTCTCTTGGGGTTGTTGGGAGGACGGAACAAGAAGATGGGTACAAAGCGCATGCACAGCACTTTATACGGGGTCCTGGGCCACAGTGAGGGCTTCATAGTTCCAGCAGTCCTTGCCATCTTCATTCCAAAGGCTGAACTCAGGGCCTCTTGTCCCCCTTCCCAATTCAGGGATTCAGCCCTGTCAGACCAGCTCTTCCCTGTATCTGCCCTCACCCCTTTCTCTCCTGAAGGCCTGTCTTCAGAGTTCCTCATCCATTGTCCAGAGTGGGTCTTTCAAGGGCCGGCACCCCAACTTGGCCCTGTAGAAGCTTAGAGAAGGGTTATGACTTGTCCGGGAACAGACTGCAACCAGGCAGACTTGGGGGGGGGGCAGGTCAGCAAGGACCTCTTCCCTGTGGCCCTTGGCCATCTCTTGCGTCTCTGATGCTAGGGACCACAATCTTGGAGCCTGGTGGCTAGGGCATCACTGGGGTGGCAGTTCCCTAGGCTGGGGAATTTTGGATGGAGCTGCCTCCCTTGGTGCCCTGCACTGGGGAACTCTGGGGTGCCCATAGTTGGCTCAGCCCCCCGTCTCTCAGCTTTGTTTGTGCAGGGTGGCAAAAATTGCCTGGATTGCTGGCTGGGTCTGGTCCAAGCCTCCTGCCGAATTCCTTTTCTGTGGAGTCACTGCGGGCTGGGATGGAGGGCGCGGGAGCTCCGTCAGAGGCAGCGCTCTCTCCCGACCTGGCCCGTTCTGCTGCTTTCCTCTTGTCCCTAAACCCCAGGTCCTGGCCCACGGTCTCCCCTGAGACCCTTCCCCTCTCCAAAGCCTCCCAGACCAGCTTCTCCCTGAGGGCCCTTCGTGCTCTGACATTTGAGCATTTTCTATCCCCACATCCTGGGGGACTGAAGCAGAGAAGTAAGGAGAAAAACAGAAAAGAGCAAGGACTTTGGGAGCTCTGGAATACCCCAACACTGAAGCCCTTCCTAGGAGCCTGGCACTGTGGGAACCTGCTAGCCAGACAGCTTGGTGCTCTCTGGAGTCATGAAGAGCCAGGGGGAGCTGCCCCACTGCTCTCCGGCCCTGTGACCTTGGACAGCTCACGCTGTTTCTGAGCCTTGGTTTTCTCACCACTACAAAGTGACTAATAATTTGTGCTTCATAGAATTGTTGTGGGAATTAAACAAGATAGTATGTGTGAAGTGCACGTCTGGGTAGACAGTAAGAGCCTGATCGGTGTGAGCTACGATGGCTGCAGCTGCGCCGTAAGAAGCAGAGGCAGGTCTCGGGATGTGTGTCCTGACCACGCTCCATGGGGCTGTGACTTGTGGCTGAGTCTCTGCAGGGCTGTCAGGCTGGAGAGAGAAAGCGCTTTACCTGGGGAGCAGGGGGGGCTGAGCCGTGTCAAGAGGTGAAACGAACGTGAGGAGTGACTTTATAGCTGAGGAATGTTCATTAGTGGAAGACACTTCTTCCGGGTAGCGAGCTCCCTGTCAGTTGAGTGTGTAAACAGAGGCTAGTACCTCAGGGGCATGGCTGTAGGGGAGCAGGAATCGTGTAGGGAACTGGACCCGATGACAGCCACCCCTGAGATTCTGGTTCTGTGACTTGGGGCAATAATCCCGGCTTCCAGTAACTCTGGAATCCCCTGCTGTGTGACCTGAAGGGAGTCTCATCCCCTCTCAGGACTGAGATCTGTGGAGTAAATCTCCTTTGCTAGAAGAAGCTCTAACCCCTCCCAGGAGCTGAGTGGGGTCACCAACTGTCAGCTTATCCCAAGGTAGCATGCGCCCTCTGCCCGTCCACTTGGGCCAGACGACAGTAATCTCTTTGGCATTCATGACTTCAGCGTAGCCTCCCAACCCCAACGTCAGTGCTTTTATCACCTTCTTCTCAGTTAAGGAAACTGGCTCTGAGAGGTGCGGTAACCTGCCAAGGTCATGCAGCTAGCAAATAGCAGAGCCTGGATTTGGGCCGGGAGGCCTGGTTTCTAAGCAGAGCAGAGGACATGGGCCCTGCATGAGCCGAGCCACCTCTCAGGGCCCTCCTGTGTGGCTGGCTTCCCCCTACCTAAACTCCCTCCCAGGTAGCAGCCTGGCCCAACCCCCAGAGCCTTCGTCTTTTATAGATGGGGTGATCCAGGTAGGAGGGGAGTCCTACCAGGAGAAAGCAGGTGTCAGGGGTGCGTGGGGCAGGCTGTGTGCTGTCCCTGTTCTGGACAGGTGGGTGCAGGTGTTGGGGGGGGGTCACATTGTGATGGGAGGAGGGAAGTCGGAGGTAGAGGACAGAGGCCTGTGGCTGCTGGGCCTGTTCCCAGTAAAGCTGCTTCTGTGTGGGCTCTCTGCTGACCCAAGTGTGAGCTCCACCCTGCGCCACTCTCTGGACCTCAGGCCCTTCATCTGTAAAATGGAGGTGGTAGTGAAAGGCCTCCTCTGTAAGGGCTCTTCCAGCTCCGAGAGTCCATGAGTTCTGAGCCTCACTGGCAGGAAGCCTAGAAAAACTGTCCCTGGAGACCCACTCAGGAGGTCATGGCCGGTGCTAATGAGGGCAAGGTAGGAGGGAAAGCAGGGTCAGATTCCTCAAGAACTAATTAGCTGCCCACAGTGAGGGTGGGGTGACAAAGCCACTGACTGAGCTGCCATCCCTGGCCACAGGCTGTCCCATCCATCTGTCCATCGGACCATTTGTTCCCACATTCATTTCTTTATTCCTTATTCAATAAGCACAGATTGAGCACTGACTGTGTACCAGCTGGGCACTGGGGATGTAATGAAAAATGGTTGCATGTAGTGAACTTACAGATTAATAGGGACCTAACCCCTGACCTCAGGCCTCAGACTCCAGCCCCAGACTGAACCCCAACTCCCACCGACTCTATCCCTGTATGTCCCAAAGGGATCTTTGGGACAAGCAGGCAGCTTGAGCATGGGCTGTGGACCCAGTGAGAACTTGTTATGACTCCAGCCTTGCCACCTTTTTCTGTGTGAACTTGGGTGAGTTTCTTACAAGTCTCTGGACCTCATTTTCCGCTTCTGTAAAATGGGCGAGTAATGCTTGTGTCCTAGTGTTCTTGTGAGGATAAAATGAAGTAATGCAATGTTCTAGTAAAGTCACTGCTGAAATTAGCCCCACTTAGGACTTTTATAATATTTTAAATTTTTATTATTATTTTATAATACTAAAATATGAGAATTTGAAAAGATTGTTTAAATGAAGATGGGAAGAAATTCTGCAGGGACTTAGAAGAAACTAATAAGGGTTGTTATGTGACTTGTGGTATAGGGCATTCAGAGATGGAGGGACATTTTTCACTGTATACCTTTTGCTATTTTAAAATTAAAAAAAATTTAGACCATGTGAATGTATTACCTATTCTAAAAAGAAGAAGTGTTAGTGTTAGTATTAACAAATGACTACTCTATGAGTTTGAAGGTATAAAAGGCCCTAAGATATGCACATAGAAAATGTCCTGGGGGTCCACTCATACATTCAGTAATGCTTCCTGAGTGCCCACATTTTGCCTGGCACTATTCTAGGGGCCAGGGTTAGAGTAATGAACAAGTCAAGCAAAGTCATTGCCCCCTTAGAGCTTATGTTCTAGGTCGGGGAGACATAATAAACACGGAAATGTGTAAAGGAGATAATTCTGAATTGTGTCGAATGCTGTGAAGAAAATAAAACAAAGAGATGGGTTAGGTGAGGGTAAAGTTGATTATAGAGCAAGGTCCCTCTGGAGAGGCGTTATTCAAGTGAGTCCTGAGTGGTAAGAAGGAACCAACATGGAAGCCACTTGGGAAAAGATCATTCCAGTGCAAAGGCCCTGGGGCAGAAGCAACTTGGCATTTTCAAGAAACAGAAAGCCAGCTGGGCAGAGTCCAGTGAGAGAGGAGAAGGGTGGTGGGAGATAAGTCTGGGATGTAGTGGGGACTTGACTGCTAGGGTGAGGTGTTCCTGCTGGGTATGGTAAAAGGCCATGTCAATAACCTTTCGGGAGGAATCCAAACAAGGAAGGGATTGGTTAATATTGAAAAGGTAATCAGGGGAAGTATTACACAGGCTGTGGCATTTGAGTTGGGCCATGATGATTGGGTCAGGGATGTTTATGAGGAGAGGGGATTCTAGGAAATAGTGAGTAAAGATAAAATTCCAGGGGAAAAGGCCGTCTGTAGGAGGAGCACGGGTGACTGTCTGTCTGTCTGCCTGTGTACCCTGTGGCTCTGCAATTCCATTGCTAACTGGGCCTCTGTCCCTCCTGCAGCATTGGGCCGGAGCACCAGCCTCACCGAGAAGGATCTAAAAGAGGCCAAGGCGAGGAGCCAGCAGATCGCAGCCCAGCTGACCACCCCTCCCAGCTCCAACTCCCGCGGAGTCCAGCTCTTCAACAGGCGCCGGCAGAGGGTGAATGAGTTCACCTTGGAGAGCCACGGCCAGAGGGGACAGAAGCCCAGCCAGGAGTCCCTCCGAGTGACCCCTGCCAGCCCCACAGGCCATGCCCCAGGGCTCAGCCTGAGTGCCACCTCAGTCCCTAAGCCAGGCCCTCCGAGAAACCCCAACTGCCAGAGCTCTGATATAAGGGTCCCTGGTCACAGCATGGAGGGCTGCTCAGAGGAGGCCAGCTTGCTGCGGCACCTGGAGAAGATGGCCAGTGAGGAGGAAG